GCATCATTGACATCTGAAGTTCTTCAAAGTTCAAATATTAGAGCAAAGAAGGACAACTCTCTCATTTGTGCAGTAAGGCTAACTCTCTAATATATAGATGTGTTCTGAAAACCGATATGTTAGTCCATTGAACTAACAAATATCAGTCTATCTTCTTGTTCAGTGTGACGACTTTTCCCAAAATCAAAATTTTGATTTCATAAGTAGACATATAAATGGAAGTATCAGACATTGACTATGAAGAAATTCAGAGCGTATTGATGAGGTGTAGTGTTTGATAGGGAGAGCGTTGCCATGCAGTTTGGCTATTTTGTCTCCAATTGATCCCTCGTAGAACTTCATAATGATGCAAGCCTAAAGTATGCTAAACAAACAAAAAATTACTGATAAAGAACTTCTTTTTTGAACAGGCAAGGTTTAGGTTATACTTTACCGCCTCATAATAACACATGAAACTTGATTAGCCTGGATTTAAATATGGAAGTTATGTTTCAAATATGCAGTTTTTTCCTTTTGGAAAAAATTTATATACGCCTTAGCATACAGTTAGCATAAACCCAAGTGATGTCCCAATAAGTATCAGATATTTATAAATCATTTATTACAATTTGGATCAAACAGAGCTTTTGCGTGAAGAGCGAGAGTTATACATGGATGCTGGATAAATTCATATTTTGGTTAAGATTTAAACAGTGCTTATGATCAGCTGCTAGGTATCAAACAAATGATTGAAAAAATGTGAAGCCATGTTCTTCGTACGCGACTTCACCCAACAAGGTCTCAACCCCACTTTTCTCAAGTTGTGTGGATAACATAAAGTGAAGAGAAGATTGCAGTTAAAGTATATTCACCAATAGATATGTAGCCATAAGGATGGGAAGGTCCACTTCAAACACGAGTTTCTTCTTCAAATGTTCCACAAAGAACTTTAATCGTCTTCTGAACGAGTTTGTATGATTTTACCTTTCAAGCTGACTTCGATCACAAAGTCAGTGCAAAATCATCCACTTGAGGAGATTTTTTACTCGATATCCTATAGCACGCAAGTGACTAAAACAAAATAACTCAGAGCTTGATAGCCGACCATACCAAACAATTCCGTTATGCGTTGAAAACTTTGTTCACTACTTGTATGTTAAGCCTGAAATTTTCTACTATCTTGTTTCCTTTGCCACTTTATAGCAAGGATTGGTTCATATTGGAAAACAAAAAACCTTTTGTTAAAACCTTTATGTATATTAGAGCTTACATGTTCATTGGCACAAATATTGAGATTTGCCATGTTCAGAAAATAAAGCTTGATCCATGTAGTGGATTATTACTACATCTGCGGTTGGGAAACATTTTCAAGGTGGCCGACACAGTTTCAAGTATCGGTTGAACGGTTCCGCTGTGAGGAACTGTTGGTGTTCAGTATGACGTAGACCAGGTTGTGAGAATATGGATTCCCTGGTAGTTGACTGCGGATGGATGGCCAAATGTTCTTATAATCCATCGAAGTCATTGAACTAGATTGCTCCGCCGGAAAGCGAAGAGAAGTATCTCCTCTGTGGTTCACCGAAAAACTAAGTTTCATCCTCAGCCAATCAGGAAGCTGCCCGGTTCTTTCATCTTGGGTGGAAAAGAGGAGACTGGCAGCGAAAAGAAGAATTTCCGTGACGTCTCACTGTAGGATGACACTTGCCTGGGTCTATGAAGGCCCTATATAGAGCCTATGTATAAGTTTGTGCAGCTAAACCCGTCTCGCACTCATAGGCTTCATCCAAAAAACGGTGAAATTCCGAACCACTCTAAGTACCCATAGAGCAAAGCTAGAACTTCTTGGAATATATCTTCCTTCTCGTGGCGGCTACAGTCATCTTGCTAATATCCAAATTGGTTTTTAATTTTGTTCGCTCGTCGTCTACAAGGGCTTTTCAACAGCCCCATTCCACAAGTTTGTGTCCTCGGATTCCTAGAGGTCGCCTTGCATCATCCTTCCTCCCTCAGCCGTTCATCCATTACAGGCTTGTCCCTTTTAACAAATCATTGCCTTTCCTTTTATTAAAAAAAATTCCCTCGCTACTTACCGTTGACAAAGAGTCTACATATGTTTGCAATGGAGAGTAAAATATTCTTGGTTTTTTTCTGAAGGAGACCTTTGTAATGTCTCTGTTCCTTAATATCATCTTCTGATATAAGTTAGATAAAATTGGTCGGCAGGCTGATGAAACAAATATCGAATCATAGACGTGGCTCCACAGGAACTTCACCTGTTTTTTGAATGTTCACCGAGTCATTTAGCTGGTGAGTGGCCAAAAACTCTGCGAGTCTGAGCAGTTTCTGTTTGCTCTTCAAAATTTAGATCCTTCTACTTCCCGTCGACCGGACACAGAACATCGAAACTGATAACTCAGCATATATGCAGTGCTTGTTTCGGAATTCTTTCCAGAGCCGCTGCACTGCTTCATTCCCATCCTCCCTCTCTCTCTCTCTCCCTCCCTCCCCCCATGAGATTACTTACTTCAATTTCTTTTCTGTGATACATGGCGGAAAGCAACGTTTCCATCAGGATCGACGAAAGGCACCAGTAGTCCATTAGTCACAAGACCAAAAACGGGTATCATACGAGGAGGAGAAAACACTCACGCAGCGTAACGCTCCTTTAGGTTGGGTGGTTGGTTGCGTCACATGGACTAGACTGGCTAGCATTTCTCTTTCACATCTGCTTCTGTTTACCGAATGCCGAAATTGCGTGTCAGTGCGTGTGTGATGGATGGAAACAAAATGTTGATGCAGCGCTCCGCTGTAGGCAGATGCATGAACTAGTGTCATGCATTCCACAGGAGGAGGCTGTGCTGAGTCTGGTCCGTCAGAGGTTGAGTATGATGTACAATGTATGTACAGTACAGGAAACTTTGTATATAAGAGAATTCAACTGTATTTCAAATATCTGGGTGTGGTCAGGTGTTATGCCAAAAAGCGAGAGGTAGCATAGATGAAGTACAAAAGCTGAAGTACGACTTGTACTCCATGTGCTTGGGCGAGCAAGAGACTTCATCTGTCCCTCGAGTCTCAGAGTCTCCACTGCCATCCCACCTCTCGCTTGCCGTCTTCGCACTACGGAGGGAGGAAGAAGTTGCTCACTCCTGCACAAATTCTTTCAGCACTAACCTGCCCAACTTCACATCTTCACTCCACATGACACCAGGAGAAATTTGGATGCCAACTCTCACGAGCCCGGATTAAATGAGATCACAAGACATGAGAGGAGAAGAAGATACTTCAACGCTAGAGGATAAAGACAAAATGAAGCAATGATCAGAACTGATCTGACATATTGATTGCTTATCAGCAAACAGACCACTCAACCGCTCAATCTGAGCGCACACGCTAAGCGTTTCTTTCTCTGCGGAATCCCTGAGCACCTCCTGACCACGTTCTCGAGTACGAAGTCTCACTGGCTTCTCTTCGGAAGATCCTACACGGCAAATCGCTTGTCAATCAACGAGTTTATCTTTATTGAGCAATATTGAGTTTATCTTTTATCATGACGACGTAGATAGATTATATGGAAGATCACCGGTTGCAACCGCACTCCAGAGTTCGTACGGGAGGGTTGAGCTCACCTTGTAAAAAGACCTCGTCTAAGGACAGGAGGGAGAGGACAGTCAAATAATCAATTGTCCCCTTCTCTTCTCCCTTTTCTTGCTTTATTGATTTTTGTTCAGATGTGCTCCTTGTCCGTCAGTATACAACGAGAGTTCAAGTTGAGATGTCAATTGCCCAATTGTCTTGCTAACAACTGGTTGCATCAGTTCCAGACTTCAACCGTTATCGTACATTTCCTGCTTTTTCTTTCATCCTTAACTCTAGGAGCTCCCACATGATTTCTTCGAAGCTCGAACATCCGATCGAGTGATTATGCGACGGGTTGAGTCCCCACATATTCTTTACTTCTTGGATTTGCTAGTCGGCGGGCAAAAAGCGCTAATTCCTTCGTAATGTGCTATGTAATCATAATAACATGTTGAGTTTCAACGCCCACCTTGAAACTGTAAAGCGTGATTAAGTTTTCCTTCAATATTTATCAGTCACTGCGGTAATAAATATATATAGTTTGATTATTAATAAAATTGTTTTAGGTAGAGTTACACAGTACATACGTATACACGTCTAGCCCTCGGAGTAAGTAAGGTATGGAGGATTAAGGCGGTACAAGACATGGTCTACTGAAGATGATGTAGGTAGTGCTGAAATACGCTTATTAACAAGTTGGTATTGCCACACGATATAAGCATCGGATTGATCGAACCGTTGCACTCAAGTGACACTACCAGCCGCTCATAGTCCTCTGGTCTTCTAAAACGTGTAAAGTATAAACATCAGTCCTCTACGTCGTTACACTCGTATGACGCCATCAGCCACACCTGTTCCCGTGGTCATCTAAAGTGTGTAAGGTATTATCATCAGTCGACATGCTGCTCTGTCGTTGTCATTCATACTCAGGGAGGGAATAATTCTCTGACAAATAGTTTTATCTCGTATATTTGCAAATGATGAGAAAAGCTTAGACAGTGCGGAGTAGCGTTGCAGAACAGTTGACTGAGAATCCCACAAGCTCAGGTCAGCAGCTCAGTCCAGTCAGCTTTTCCATAAAAGTGGCAGGCGTAGAGAAGAGTGATTTGAGGTCCGTTTTCTGCGTGATAGTATCGGGTTATGTGCATGTGAACGACATAAGAAGACTTAGACACCATGATTTAGGCACAAAGCGTCTGTCAGAATCAACTGTGGTTAACATAACACTTTTGCCACATGGTAATGCCTCCTACGATAAGGAGATAGTCACCGGAATTCTCAAAAAAGACCATGCTCGCACTTAGCCTTGCGAATAACATGGCTAAACGGGACGCTGTGAAGCGGGCCGGTTAATCACTGTGCGTCACGAGGACAGATTGTAGCCAGAGAACATAACAGCAAAGCAATCACTCTCACAGTAAGAACATAATAGATAAATTTCCTCATTTTATTTCAGAAAATGCTTTCTCGCTTCTCAATCTCGATGACAAAACTCACTCATTGGTGGATAGCTTTAAATGCATATACATGTACAACCAGCAAACTTGTCCACTGAAGTTACGCACGGATATTGAACAATAACCTAATGGATCTCACTCTTGAGGTTTGAAATCAATGCCTCCATGTTTTGAAGCTGCTCTGCTACTAAGGACAAATTCTCTAAGGAGCTTTTCGAACTCAATTGCTTATCTGAATCTGAACTCCCACCTATCTCAGAACTAAATAAAGACATTCTCAAGCTCGCACACAACTTTCGGGACCTCTCAACTGCTGCTTCAAGAGCACCTACGGTAAGCTCAACCTTCGAACCAACTTGTTTGTGTCTACTAAAAGGTGACGTGGATGGCAAAGTTCCCCTTGAGCTGAGTCGACGACTTGTTTTGTCAGGTGTCAAAATTTTTTCCAGGCTTCCACTTCCTGCACAGAGAGGAAAGTTAAAACACTTAGCTTAATGAGCATAACAGAAGTAAACGGCTAAATCATTAAATTTTGAAGCCTGCACTCTGCGACATATTGCCTTGACCCACAGAAAGTTATCTTGTTGCCGAGACGCTTTCCCTCAGGACTAGGCTACCCGTATCACGTCTCATTCACAGACTGTTCTTTATTTTGTTTTCCACCCTCATCACCCTCATCAATGAACTCACCGATGTCATTCAGCTGATCAATCGCGGACTGGCCGAATGGACCCTGTAGCTGTAGCAACTTAAGGACCCCTGCAGCAACTCGGCTCGCGGACTCTACTTCGAGCTGGCAACGCTGTACAAGATACTCCACCTCTCTCTTCGTCGCCCTCACTTCGATCTGCAAGCATTGCCATGCTCAACAGTGAGTTCTCCTATATGCACATCTTCCATACACTGAAACCACGAAGTCTGAGAAGAGTTTTTCATACCAGTATGAAGTCCATACCCTGCAACTTTTCTCATATATGAAGAAAACACCGCAAGTACAAAGCGATGACAGACAGGAACTAGCACAGAACTGAGTAGCTTTAGCTAACACTTTACCGGTTCTTTTACAGCGGCTTGAATGCTCTCAACGACCCAGTGGCCAGACCGAACTTCGGGATCCTCCGTGTTTTCTATCAGATTGACCTCCAAGTTGATACCACTGCTATTGGTCACATTAAGATTTACAGGACGTCCGCTTCGTTTCTCGGGAGCCAAAACATATCCATCTGATTGGCTAAAACCTTCCTTGAATGACGCCCAATTGTGGTCATTTGTGCCGGAACCAAATAACTCATCTGCTAGAATAGGTTTCAGAGCTTGAAGACCTTCAATGCGTACCTGGCCCCTCACAAAAAATCAATGCGATTTCTGTCAGAACGTTGTAGCTGTTCCTGTGTGCGATGATATTGTCAATTACGGTATATCTACGGGTTGAAAGCCAACCCAAATGTATGGTTGTGTTCTCTGAGCAGATCCGAACATTTGTTCGCTTTGACATGAGAACTTACACCTACCCGGCTTACTCACCTTGATATTTTGAACTGGACTTCTTAAGCTGGATCCTTCAGTTGGAAGCGGCGAATCCTCAGAGTCTAGCTTTCGCCCGGATGCACTAATTTTCAATAACCGAAATGTTGTATGCCAGCATTTCTGCTCTCTTGTGAGAACAGAATCTTCAGTACAACTCGGGCCTTCGGCTACACCTTCGGCCCCTTCAAGAGCAAAGAGCCAATCCTGAAGCTGAAGATCTAGATCAATGTCATGCGGTCTTCCCATCTCCCATCCCTTGTTGTCAACTGCAACACAATCGCCAATTGAGCCTTTTGCGTTACTCTCGCGATTTATAAACTAGCAAGATCACATCTGATCAAATATTAAAAGCTGTCTTTACAGCAAAAGAGGTAATCAAGGTCGCCACATCTTCACATATTGTGCACCAAGGTACAAACAATGCACTTGAACTTGCAGACCTAATTTCGATTACAACATATGTGCATCGCCATTTTCTCACAACATGAAGGAAACTCAAGTCTGAATTTAAACTCTTGTATGGTGCGTCCGTCATATATATGTAACTCCATTTGGGGTTACAGGAAAGGTACACCCCCCCTGGAGAATCCAGATGTACACAGAAGGCCAACAATTCGAAAGAGGAGAGTTTAGCGTAAAGTGCACAGATTATAAACTGGACTGGAAGGTATAGAAACCATCGAAAACAGAACTAGCTAGCAGCTAGTAGTTTACAATATCCTAATTCCGAATTACTCTGAGTAGTCGAACATAGAAAAACACTGACGATTAGTTTCAGTACCAGGAGCTTTACAAGTGTACTACATGAGGGGATCTAATGATGGAAAGAAAGCCTCATGATGTAAAGTCTAAACAATGTCGGGTAAAGTGAGAACTGGTTCAATAAGCTATAAATTATTTACCTAACAAACCATATGAGTTAGTCTTGGCCTCTGAGGTCCACGCCAATTGAAGTACACAACGAGTTTCAGAATAGTTTCAGCTTGTTAACTATCAAACGAAAAACGACTGAAACCTAGGGTATGTGTTGAAACTGTGTGCTGACACGGACATCGACGGCGCGTGTATACATTACAAAATGCAGAAGACTTAAGCTGCAGGATGGAGAGAAGCGACGAGCCTTAGTTCCAATACAGGGTAAGATATGTACATTCATGTTATATGGGAGTATGCAGGCAGTCGGACAGACTTAAGGAAAGGGACGTAGAGAGTACAAAAAGAGTTCAAGTACACAAGAGAGAGCATGAAATGTAAGAGGAGAAAGCGTGGAACCTCATCGAAGAAAAGGGCATACGGAGCCAAATAGTGTATCTCCTGAATGCTGAATGAGGATCAACAATTCAATCCACTAGCCGTGACTTTAGTATCTCATATCATGAATAAGCAGGCTCTCTCCTAAAGACAAGCTGTTAATCAGTCTTACTTCTAAGTCTTGGGTAATTGGGCTTGTACGATCCAAATGGTGGATGAGGTAGTGAAGGGTGTAACAGCCTGAAAGACATATCTGAAAATTGACAGGAGGAAAATGTAACTAGTGTATAATACAGTATCAACTACATGCAGTATATTCTAGTGATAGAAGACGAATTACGAAGAAATATACGTGAGATCACGATCCCGAAACGAACTTATATACAAAGAGTATAGACGAGTACGAGAAGAACTTATATACAGAGAGGCTATTGATATTATTTCAATGAGTGCATGAGACATGCACACCAAGTGAAGATCACGCAGTCACCCCATTATTACGGTAATAACCGTTATAACCGGGCAAAACCACCTAACAAGTTAGCAACTGGAAGAAGCATTGGGCAAAAGTATCATTCAGTAGATATTGAACAACCAAGATCAGGTATAAAAAGTTTGCTAGATATTTTTGTTTAAAAATGTTTCGATATACAACATAGAAATGCTCCAAATGTCATCAAATATGTACACTTAATGTAACACTTACACTATGCCTCAGTTTTTAAAGTGGGCAATTCGGAGTTACACACCTTCTGTTGAAACTGGGATGGCTCCAGCGGTGGGCCTGAGGAAATCAGCCAAGGGTCCACTGGATAGTGAACTCATTACCTTATTCACCACTTCACCAGGGCTGCCATCAGGTTGAAGGACTCCAAAGCGCTGTAAAAGAGCTTCGGTGTACACCATTCCTCCTCCCAACCGGACTCCAGCTATCTTGGCACTTACTTTCAGGCTGTGACATTCAACGTCCTCCTTTCTCAACGGAATCATGTGTACAACTGCCACCTCCAGGAATGGTGTGCGCTTAATTCTAGAATTTCCGTTAGTTGTTGCCTCAGCTCGAGCCATGCTCCCTCGTTCATCTCCAATCCAGAGGACAGAACGCATAGTCGAGTACACATTGTGCGATCCCTGCTGCTTGCTTGCAGGATATACATCGTCCTGAAGCATTACATCCGTTCCTGAGGACTCGGATGTCATGCTTGGAATAGACTCGGATGCGGAAGCTTGTTCCATGGAGTTTAGCTGGTCACAGTTGCTTCGGGCTCGTCTGAGATTCTCCTTGAATTGCGCGTTCATCAACGAGACGGGCGCTATAGGGCTACACAATTCGGTTTCAACACACTCGACTCTCACATCTTGAAAGCACAGTGCTGATGAAATTGCTGCTGCACCTCCAAGAGTCCTGTGAGTGGCTTTCAGGCAAATACCACGAATAAAGATTTGCACTAAGGGAGGACCCTCCACAGCAACTTGACCGGGGACTGATTCCAGTAGCTTCAGTTCCAAGTTGACTAATCGAATAATCACCGCACTGTCATCAGGAGCTATTCTGGCGAAAGAATGATGTTTAGCTATTTGTCGACTAGATGTCTTACTATGCACACCAGCTGAAGAATGCACAGTTTCAAGGCCCTTGCTGACTCGTACAAGAGTTTGACTTACATCCATCATATATCCATACATTTTCAGAACGAATAGCAACTGTTCACTAGACGCATTACATGTATAGCTTTTGCAGGAAACTCCAAGCCTGACGATTCCACCCGGAGGTGGAACACTGATCAATGGTTTACCATCTCCTGTGACCATCGCAGCTTCTAAACATGGCTCTGCCATTACTACACAACGCCAAAGGCCTGCATCCCAATCAGTACTTGAGTTTTGAGCCGAGTCGTCACAACGTCCTGTTTCCAGAGCAACGCTAATATGGGTTGACCGCATAACCCATCTTTGCTGGCTTGAGTCAACAGGTTGACCTTTCCAAAATGGGAAACAAGCAGGGTCTCCGTCTAAGTCAAGCATTCTGAAAGTTAGAAACGGACTCTGCGCTACCATAAAACCCTCCACGTGGAGTCTAACTCCTGTGAAACCGCCATCATCATCCTCCTCTTCAGATTTGTTAGCTTTCAAAGGCACGGTCAAGTCGAATTCTTTAAGACTGAAATAAATTGCATTGAGTGATGTTTCTGGTGTTACTACACCCTGTCGGACGGTGACACCGTCAGCTAAGAAGGAAGCTATCCGTATACAAGACTCTTCTTGTAGATTAATCTGCAATAAAGAAACAGAAATGCAAGGCATCAAACAAAACTTCTTACGAAGGTAGAATCTACCATCAGTCTTTCTCACAGAAACTCAACGTTTCCTCTATAGTCATATCAAGAAGCAATACTGATAATTCATGTCAGATTAAATAGTCGAGATAACGATAGACAAGTATCTCCAAAACTGACAGTATCGTCATGTATAGGGCAGATCTATGAATTGATCTACTTTTGTACCTTTAAAGGCTGACACTGAACGACCATCTGTGAAGCAAGAGCAGGGGGCTCAGGTGCTGGCGTTGTCTGGGAAGCAAACATGCACATCATAGGTGCTGCATCTCTAATAATGAGTCGACTGTCAAGCGGATATATTCTCGGCCATAACTTTTCACTAGCTGCAAAGACATCAACGAAACTTTTTCACACTCAAATTCAGCATCATTCAAATCAGGTCACGACGGATGTTTGTTACAGAACTTAGGATAGTAGTCATGCATAATGGATAACTTGTTAATAAAAATATGGTGGTACCTTCCTAACCAATGCATACAAGGCTCTTTCATCGTCCTTCGACTCCTGGTATCCAGCAATTCCATTTCTGTGCAATTCCTCGGGTAACATCTCCTAAAATTTGTGGATTGTGTTGTACTAAGATGATCACTCTTCACAGCCAGAATCTTTGTTTTCCAGATTTGTTGTAATGGACAATGCAAATTTAAATTGTTTCCGTCAAGGGACTTTCACACCTATTTTATTCAAATTCAAATGATAAATATAATTGTCAAGCCTGTGCTTGCAAGCAAGGAGCCATAATGTCCGCAAGATACTTCATCACGTTGAATTCGAGAACAGAATTCTACCCATTTCTCTGGATGCACAATCTGAAGTTCAGTTTATCTTATACGCCTGCTACTAAACCTTTTCTTCATACATTTTCAATTAAAATGTGGAATACTACCACCGTGCTACTGTGGGAAGATTTGGCACCTACCAAAGGACGGGACTGGTGGAAAATCAGTAGGAGCATTGCGCATGCTAGGCTGAACAAGAGTGCATGATGGATTTGAAAATGTGTCTCTGTAATTAGAAACAACAACTTATCAGGAATATAGAGAGCCAATTTGATCTTCTACCATATCTACCTGCTGCTCCTGATTAATCAAACAAGTAGATCCACAGAATAGAAGAATCGACCGAAAGAAGAACTGTACACAACCTGGATTACCTTAAAAATAAGTGACCCAACTCAAGGCGAGACATAGTGCGAGAGCAGTCTCCATCGCCCGCGCTTGCCTGTATAAGAAAACCGGCTTAAAATTGGGAAGATAATTCCGATCCATACACTAGAAGGAAAGAAGTATTATTCACGCAAATTGCCCTCAAAGAACTTCTTACAAAAGAATGCCAAATCTACATACAAAACGTCATCTTCTATCCGTATTAATAAATATCTGAACGTACCCGAATATAATTCAATGACTGCATTAGAAGTTCAAGCTGAAAATCTGCCGTAAAAGACAAGAGTAATGATCAACCTCGTGGTTCTCCTCCTTGGGCCAAAAAAAACTGTATCACAAGCCTTAATACATACCACACAATTCAAAGCGAGAAAAGAGGAAATTTCTCAGACCGATCTATCGGGAGCAAACCTGCATCCTTGATGCACAAAAATACGTGATCGACAGTCACTTTCACCATCGTGCGTCCAGCAGCCTCAGTAGACTGCCACGGACATTTCAACGCATTCAATTTTCTCGGTTATCAAGCAAAATCTGTATACGAAAAGCTAAAACAGACTTTGAATTTCTCAATCTTGATAGACGATATAGCTGCTCAAGCTTTGACCATGATTCTTGCTGTATACTCCTATTGAGTGCGGAACAACAAGCATTGCTCTGTAAGCCCAGGCAATTGCTCACAGTCCTGAGACAATAGAAAGTGGCAACAAAACGAATTTCTTGATCTAAGATAATAGGGTGGAATGATCCGTTAACAACTACAGTCACCTCCTCACTTTTTTCCGATCCACGTCTCCACGATTTATGCAAACATACACCCCTGTCATGAAACGAAGCAGTGCCCGTAAACCTGCAATAGACCAAATGTAAAAGACTTACTCACTGCAAATGGACCTGCTCTGTACAAGTAATTTTGTGAGATCATTACAGATCCGAACCTGAGATGAGAACGTGAACATCGATCCTAAACTACTCAGATATTTAGATTGACTGAATCAGTTTATATGTGTGCTGATTAGTATTTTTCATTGGCAGGGCAAATTTAAGTTGCGAGATACTGGCCTTACCTGGCTCACTCAATGCAGGACAAAGTGTCTCAGGTATATGCACTTGGACCTCAAGAGCAATTGGGTTGTTTTGCTCAGTTCTGTGCATTGTAATCTGCACAAGTAACAACCAAGGCTGATGACGAACACAATCTTCCATGAAGACTTAAAAGTGATGTGCGGAAACAAGACAGAGTGTTAACCCCACAATTAAAGGATGTACTATGTGATTACATAGGCAGCTCCTGAAATGCTGTCGAGAAAACGCTCCCCTCCGAAGAACATTCTCTTTGCCCCGACATTATCACGACTAGAGTCTGAGTCGGTGTCGGGAAGATTTTCATCCGCGAACATGTCAGGGTGCGGAAGCAGGTCTACAGAAAGTGACTCCCACTCAAGCTTCTGCATAGAGTAAGAGAAGATAAAGTCAGACTTTCATTCCCTAACTGTTACATCACAACTGAGGAATAGAGGATGCACAAATGGGAATTTCTAGAGCTGCTGAAAGACGAGGCTCACCTTAAATACATAGATGCATTTCTTATTCGCAAAAAATTTTCTTGATTCCGTTAGGTTCACCACCTGTTATCACTCACAGTAATAATTAAGGCAAAGATATTCAGCATGAAAGAAGTTGAAAAGTTTATGATAGAAGTTTTGTATATCACTGGATAGAGAAAAAGAGATGGCAAGTTGAGATCAAAAGCCTCCTCAACGACTCCGCATAGGTATCAGACATAAGGGAGTTGAAACATCGATGCATATCCACGTAATGTGGAGATCCATGTGAGATTTAATGTCGCTAATACTTGGCAATCGAGATAAGATGAATAGTTGTCAGAAACAAACCACAGAAACAAATCGCAGAGCATCATAAAGCTCCAAACATGACTTGAAAAATGCTTACTTTCCAATGTTCATTGGTTGAGTAGAGTAGCAGGTTTCGTATAGTTATAGATGCCAGTGGTGGAGTCCTGTTTTTCAAAAGAGCATAGTCCCAGATCACTATCACTTGCCAAGAGTCAATTCCACTTGCAAAACAAGAGAGCAACTTCAATAACAACCCAAAGACTAGAAGATTACATCTTGAGATGTACTCTTCTATGCGGAGAATTGCTCTTGCTTACCATGAAGCTCCACCTGCACCACCTCCACCTCTAGTTTCCAACATGAGATTCACCGTACCAACGGTAATAGTCAATCCATCTGCAATCTGAAGGATATACGCTCGTAGAATACAATTGAACATCTCATTTTATCAGGTGATTCGTGAATGGATCTGTGTACATGAGCAATATCATAAAATAAAAGTCAGCTTCAGAGCAATCGCATCTCCATCTCAACCAACCTTGTCAGCATACCCATAGCCCGTGGAGGCAACTTTTGTTGGAGTTGTTGTTGCTTGAGTCCTGGACAAGCCAAATACAACCTTCAGAAGAGAATGCTGGAGTTCTAAAGTGAGAATTTGTTCGTTATTTCTGTTTAGCTGGCAGTAGGTCGTTTGCACCACATTTTCTACTACAGTTGAGTTCCTGCCATACAAGTCCTCGAGATGGAGAATGCTTCGAAAAGCAATTAAAGGGCACGTGATGACCAAGTATTACAGAAAGACGAGGTTTATACCCTGTAACTAGAACAGCTTCCTCATTGCCAGCTGTTTCTACGAGCACCAGATCAAGCTTATCAATTTCCACCACAACTGGCTCCGAATTCACGTTGGATAACGAAGGCAACTGCACTCAATGCACATGTGATATCAGATAAACAAGCAACCTCAAAGCATAGACCTCTGGATCTTACAAATAATCATTTAAAAGTTGTAGCGCTATATATCTTCAGAAAATGAAGCCTCGATAAGAGACATAAATTTCTTACATCCTGAACAATATTCCTACTCCAGGCCGGAATACAAACCCTTGAAGAAAACTGAATGTCTTTTGACCAGTAAAAAATTTACGTGTTCTTGAAACTTTTTGCTTTATTGAGTTATTTCGCAGATAACAGCACCTTGAGCTCAAATCTACCGACTCGAGCTTGCGCCACGCGCAGCGTTGGGGGGAGCCCGATTGCAGCATGTAGTACATCCCCATTAAGATCTGCTTTCAAGAAAGGCTCGAGCTTATATGCAATCGATATATTAAGTCTAGCACATCTCACATGCAAAACAACTTAAAAATCTAATGTAAACTAAAAATCCAATAGCTATTTAAACTATTAACTATTCAGTTTTTCTCTGAACTATTTCAGGCTTCCAACTCATGTACTCACATATACAAAAGTTCAGATAATCAAAATTCATCCTGTTTCACAATCATGTGCCTATCAAAGCACTCTCGACACTCTCGACTTGAATAAAGTGACAGAAAATGTTGGACTGAAGACAGAAAGTTTTGTAACCTTCTGTGAATAAAAAGATGGATTGCCCGATAAACTATTAACATCAAAAGTCCAAATCTCAACGTGAATAATGAAAGAGAACTTTTAAAATAAAAAAAAATGTCTATACATAACACGCACATGCTTAAACCATCTGCTGCAGAATCAACTTGCCAAATTCAATCATACACACCTTGAAAACCAATTTCTAGGACGGAATGGCTTAACATTCCGCCAGTAAGAACGTTATAAGAATTTATATATAAGAAATATATGAGAGAGAATACACAACAATACAATCAAATCCATTCACCTCAAATGAGTGCATAGAGAGGAGGAGGCACACCAAGATTGTACAAGTGCACACTGCGGCCCTGAAGCTTAAACTGGTCTCTGGTAAACGAGCGCAACCAGTACTTGAGCTTCGATTCCAGGGCCCTCACCAGAATAGATTCCATTGCTCCCCGGCTTTTTTGCCCGCTGCGAAACGTTGGTGTTTACTAACAAATTAACATGTAATCTCCTTCCAGTTAGCAACCCAAATAGGCCCTACTAATGCCAATTCGCGAAACTGGAGTAATCTTCACCTTTTCTAAAGGCAACCAGGTTTCATCTCCAAACTTTTGTAACGCGCCAGCGTGGCGAAGGTTTCTTCACTTACGTCATTTAAAAACCCCGGAAGCAAAACAGTTCCAACCAACAACAGCAAAGGCAAGAGCTTCTTGTATCTTCGATCATCTTACAGCTCACATCCGTTCTTGAAAATTTCGTTGGCCACCCTCCAGGTCTTCGCATTGTCTAACACAGACAGCAAGATACTCGACTGATCGACAATTACTTCCCCTCTTTAAGACTTGGGTAGGAGGCCTCATTTCTCCAGAACATCACCATTTACATTGAGTGACTCCCCAGGGACCAGAATCTTCATCATGAGCAGATCTGTCAGTCTTCAGCTCCTCCATCCCCCTCTATCTCTCGCATCTGCTTTCCAGCTCGTTGAATCGTAAGTTTTAACCACTTTCCGACCAACCAGAGTCTACCTTTCTCCTTTCTTTCCTTCACCGAACCAACATCAATCAATCAGTTGATCCGTTCTACCACACTTTCTTTCCTTCTCTTCTCTCTCTGGCCTTATGCCGTGTACGAAGAATTCGAAAGAAACAACTCTCAGATCCCGATCGTACCTTAGCTCAAAAGCCGTGTGTAAGGTCAAATGGTGGAATAAATCTGAAACCTGGGACCAAAATCGATGTAGGAGGTCTGATTGAGTTAACGTCGGATCCGATACCTCCTAAAAAGTCGATTAAATCTCGTACATGAGACCTTGTACGGAAACACACGTAGTAGATCCAATGAACCAATTAACCTGTTACATGAGACAGTGTATAAAAAAGGTACGTTTACAAAAGAAAAAACGTCGGATGAGAACACAAAAATTCGACCTCCAACGATTATACAGTGTCTGTAGTGGCTGGATGAGCAATGCTCACTCGCTCTTTCGGAGACAACCTCTAGATCTTTAAGATAGGAATTCGAGCCTCTTCCTTGCTCAGTCGTGACCTCTGTGTTCGCCCCTTCTACGACTGTCTCTCTGGCCGCCAGACACGACCTCACTTACGTGGCAAAAGTGAATGGTCCCGACCAAACGCTTTCTCGCTACAGAGACAGATATATCATCCCGAATGTCACGCTTCTTCTTCTGTGTAATACAAAACGCTTTCGTCTATTATGGTGGGACAGATACGAATTTAAAGTGTAAGTACCAAGTTGCTGTAATTTGGGTTGCTTTCCTTTTGACCCACCTTGTTGTCCCACTTAGAGGCTACATTGAAAACAAATATTATTTCTGTGACACATGTACTGCAATTAGTTGGTGTGAGATGGGCGAAAAGAGAGTTGAGAGTTTCCATCAACCCGCAGACAAGAAGCATCTAGGATATCCATAAGACAACCGATCATGCACAACAATCACGAACACACAAAAGGTGAGTTTACAACTAGCTCCTAACACGATGTGCACATGAAGTGGTATTTTCAACGGAAAAATAAATATGTATAGTGTGGTGTAATTTTGTGTAGACGTGGAGGCTCAACTAGCTAGTACACACAGCATATATTTCAATACTGTATACTTCAGTCAACCGTGTCATCCACATTTGGAAGATGGCGTGGCGCCCAGCTTCAACCATGATTCTTTTACACCATACTGTCACTGCCGTCCAACATGAGCACCCAATATGGCAAAACTTTCTACATCCTCAATATAGTGTGCCTTGCAATGTAGTAGCACCAGTTTGCTGCAAGTATACAAAATCATCAGGAGCAAATCTTCTAATGCTAGACATGTAGCCACCTCCACCAATGGTGGCATATTTGAGTTTATCACAATGATGAGCAATAGTCAAGTTCTGAAATGCCATGGGCAATACCAATTAAAATGGTTTTGCCCTCACAGAACACACTTGAATCCACACATCGGGGTTGCCAAACTACATTACCCCACTAGCCTTCCTTAGGATTGCTTTAGGTAACTCAAGCTCTTCACCAAATAGGAGAAGACCAAGAAGATTTGCTTACTGAACCGATAATCCATGGCTATTCTATACCTTGATTAATCAACACCTCTGTTGGAGCTCTTAAATCGTTAAACAATCTATCTAAAAAAGTATAAGCTACATCCTCACGATAATTATTTGGTAATGCCACCAGTTCAATTCACTTGGAAAAATTCTTCATCATAACCAGCGTGTACATGTTGTGACGTGATGTCCTCTGCGAAGCCCTTGCAAAGTCTAAACTACATCTATAGCCTAAGCCTATAATTGGTAATGAATGCAATTGTGGTGTGAGAACATAGAATGATGCTCTAATTTGATCACACACTATGCGCTATGCTATAAATTGTCTAACATCAGTTTGCATTTCACGCCGTTAATATTGTACTTGGAGCAGGGTTTGACATTCCCCCGGGAATCCCCCGGGTTTAGATAACTTACTTCCGGAACAGGGGGTGAAACAGGGGGACAACCGGAGGAATCCGCTGATGCACTCTTGCTAAGAGGGGGCTACACCCGGAGGATTTTAAGGGTTAAACCCGGGGACACCCGTTGTAAATGTCATTTTATTGAAAAAATGTTGGGAGCACTCACACGTAAATAGCGGACTTAATAGCTTTCAATCCACTGAGAACCCCCGGAATTTTTTCCCAAAAATATCCGGGCGACCCTGAGAAATCAAGAATGCTCTAGTCAAAACGTCGGGGCGTAACTCCGGACGTTTTGTGGCGCATTTCCGGGGTCACCCGGTGGTTTTGAGCCATGCCTGTCAAACCCTGACTTGGAGTAAACTATGTGTGCGTTTCATTTCAAGATGTCCCATGTTGTGCAAATATGTATCATATATATACAACCTACATCGCTGACATGCAATACTCACACACATATATAAAAGAAACAAGAGCGTACACTTTTCATATATGAAACAAGTCTCTACACATGAACTCTCCATTGCCATTGGCCTCCTAAACCTTCTATTTGTTTACTAATTTCCAAATTGAGGTGGCGACATGCCATTTGTGCCTATCCAACTTCTAGAATCTCTACTTGCCACTAAGCCAACATTAGACTTAGTCTAACCAATGAAGTCCCTATTATTTAGTCAAACCAATTAAAACTAAACATGAAGTCAAAAGTCTTTTCTCTTGGAATCTAGATTTTTGTACATGTAATGATAGACAAATACCAAAATGGAGCATAATGGTACAGATCCGATCCCACGAGGACAGAAACAACCACAAAAGTCACGATTTGTCACAGATTAGCATTCTATTAAGGAGTTTTACTTCTAAGGCCAATGCCACTCCCAAAAGACACTACCCAGCTACGACCGAAGACCTGCAAAGTGGCGCATAATCACACTCACAACCTAAAACTTTTCCAATCAACGCCTTTGGGAATCGCCTGCGACCCCACACTCATATTTCAGGGGGAAAACTTCCCATCATTGCATACATCCCGACTCACCGACCCAAATACCCAGCCTCGAATTTGCTTAAATCCCAAGGAGCACACAACTACTTAGATCATTCAAGTTGGACACTCACAACTCCCGATGCGGTAACTTCGACAAACAAGAGCGCACTGTGCTCAATGTCTGGATCACACACCAGCACACAAACACACAGTGGATACAAGTTCATAGCCAAGACAAGCCAAATGACAGAAAAGCCCTCCCCCCAAAGAAAGAGCCTTGGGTCCCTTTATTCACAATGGCAACTCTGGAATCTCAACCGCCTAAGGCGAATCAGTCTCAGGGGTTGTGCCGTCTAATGTAGCGGTTAAGGTGTCGTTTAAACTATTCTCTGCTCCTAGTCTACGCAAAACGTTTACAATCTCTAACTCTACATTATAGCGCGCCTCATCGAGTCCCTAAGAAAATGTCTTAACTATCTCTACAATCTGCTTCTGTCCTACGGATCCGCTGGCCTTAGTGCTCATCAATCGTCGCTCTAGCAAATCTAACTTCAGCCATTTCATTGTTTGCAATCCCCACATTGCGAATCCAATCAGACACTTCTCCAAACGCAACTTCAACTCGTCGGTTGATTCGCCCGTAGCTGGCGATAGGCCTCCTCTGCCTTCTCCATTCTCCGTTGCGACTCCTGCAATCTCATGTCCGCCTTGCCTAACTGCTTCCGCAACCGTCGACATTCCGATTCAACCTTCAATTTACATTTGACCTCTGAAGACCTGGCCGATTCACAATCCGCCAATTTCATGGCCCAATTTGCGAACTCCTCCTCATGCTTACAGACTTCCTCCGCTAGACAAATACAAAATTGGAGCATAATGGTACAGATCCGATCCCACGAGGACAGAAACAACCACAAAAGTCACAATTTGTCATAGATTAGCATTCTATTAAGGAGTTTTACTTCTTAGGCCAATGCCACTACCAGAGGACACTACCTAGCTAGAGCCGAAGACCCGCAGAGTAGTGCATAACCACACTCACAGCCTGAATCTTTTCCAATCAACACCTGTAGGAATCGCTTGCGTCCCCACACTCATATTTCAAGGGGAAAACTTCCTAGCATTGCATTCATCCCAACACACTGACCCAAACACTTAGACTTGAATTTGCTTAAATACCAAGGAGCACTCAACTACTCAGAACATTCAAGCTGAATACACACAACTCCCGATGCGGTAACTTTGACGAACTGGAGCGCAATATGCTCAATGTCCGGATCACACACCAGCACACAACACTGTGGTGCCTAGTTTTTTTTTATCTTTAAAAATCAACAAAACTAAAATGAAAGTAGTTGTTAGAGTTAGAATGAGCAGCTCATGAGGAGAAATGATAGAATTAGTTAGAATTTGTCTACGTCCGAAGATCTTTGGATCATCGTGTCTTCGGCGCAGCCTTTTATGGACGTACGAAGAGCTACGTCTTCGGCGAAGACGTCGGAATCAATTTCAAATCACGCAACGGGCCGGATGACGTTCGCACGCGTCGAGATTTCTACTGGGCGCGGAAGGAGACAATGTTAGAGCTTTGAAGGTAAAGGCAGTACGAGGAGTCTTCGCGCCGACAGTGCAATATCGAGCAAGAACGAGCGAGAGAGAGGAAGCGAAATTGATCCAACTTGCGAGTAGCAAAACGCAAATTGAAGACATGGCGCCCAAGAAGATTGAGAAGGTGAGGAAATTGGTTCTCTTGAAGGTGCCTTACTAAGAATTGCGACCCTTCAGACGCGAACTGAGTGAATTGCGGCTTGAATTCCTTTTGTGGAATTGGAATTGCGTCTCGGGTAGTATCTGCAAGGAGCTAATGGACAAGAGCACGACCAAAGGCGAGGAGCTCCGAGGTAATCCCATGTTGTGGACCATCGAGCATTGGACAAAAGTAATGGTACCGTGTGCGGGCAACGAAGGAGATCTTCTATTTGAGAAGAATAGCGTAGGACTTACACGCTGCAAGGAATTCTCTTACGGGCCTCTCTTTGAGTCTGGATGTCAGGGGACTAACGGATGGAAGACTGTTGATTAGAAAGATCCGAAGAGAAAGGCGATCGCGTTGGGAATTATGCACATCTTGCGGCCGGCGCGCACGACTTATGTGACGGCCTGGCAAGTAGGGTTCTTCGAACGCATCCTGAAGGCACAGCGAGTACATTGGGCAAGGATCTTTTACGATCTTGTTTGGGTGAATGCGGGCTCCCGGTGGACGGGACCTTTGACCAATCACATCACTCCCTTTCTGGTGAATTTCTATCGAGGAATGGGGTTGCTTACGAGGGAGGAGGAGAAGCGATTTCCAAGAGAGCAGGAAATCTTGACAGTTGAGTCCATTGAAAGGACCGAAGACGAGAACCGACCCCCCTCAATCCCAACACATACGACAGCCCGAGGATCAGTTCAGGTGAACGTGGTGCAGAGATGGGAGAAGCGAGAGAGACGATTGGTAAAGAGAAGGAAAGTACTGAGTGATGACGAGGAAGAATTGGCCAGGAGGTAAGAAGGGTGGACATGGATGTAGATGGAGCGAGGGAGCAGAGAGCACGCGCAAGATCAAAGAAGAGAGCAAATCGGAGGTTGGTGACAGCTAAAGTATCGGACAGCAG